GGTCGTATTGGTCGTGGTCGCACGACTTTCGCACGCGACCAGCACAGGCTGCACAGGCCGCCGCATCCCTTGCCCTGCACATTCACCCGCTGCCATCTGTCCCCCCGTGTTGTCGGGCCCCTACTGCTCTCTGGCCCCAAACCACTGCTGTTACCTCACTGCTGTGACAAGTGCTGCTGCAGCCAAAGAGTCGGTGTCTGTTGTTTGTCCCCTTGCCCCTATTCTCTCCTTCTTCTCTTCTATTCCTATTCCAATGCACCGAGGTCCCAGTGGGACAAGTGCACACCACGCGCTCGCACCAGAGTGTCGAATCGAGTGTTTGACGTTCTCACGAAAAATGTCGACGTCTGCTGCCACCGCCGCTACTGCACATTTGCTACACGTGACCCACAACTGCCAGTGCCACAATTAATGTGCACTACTCCCCTGCACACTTGACTCACTTTTGATGCAATAGAAAACTAGTGAGAGTGAAGTGTGTCCCTGCCTTTCGACCCTTGCCTGCCTGCCCTGCTACCAAACAAACTACTGAAACTGTGGGAACAAGTGGATATTAATTATTATCAGACCTAGTGCCACCAGCCCCAGCACCAACAACTGTTCCAGGGAGAGAGAAAAAGGCAACAACTGCTGTTGCCAACAGTGCCGCGGAGTATATAAAGCAAGCGACATTTGGGCTGCAGAAAAATATAAACACACAACCACCACCACCACCACAACTTCTGTCGACTTTCGATTTGCAGTGCACTTCAGCATTTTCAATGGTTTGACTTGCAATCTTTTTGGCCAAATGTCCACCGCCACCAGCAGCAGCAGCAGCAGCAGCAGCACAACTTGCTCCATTTTGTATCCTCGAGAAGGTCTTCTTCAATCACCACCACCACCACCACCACCACCCTCATCACCCCTTCCAATCATCATCACCACCTGCCTTCAGTCTTGGCTAGCCACGATGGCCCGTCTGGCGGTGGCCGGCTGCGCCGCCATCGGCCTCTACTTTCTCCTCGTCTGCCTGGTGACGGGCCACTCTTCGGTGCTGATATCCTCCGCTTCACAGCAGTCATCTGAAATCTCAGCCACCAGCAGAGCGCCTTCTTCGTCTTCGCTTCGATTTCAAGCAGAAGTTGATGCTGATGATCAGCAGTCAGCAGTGGTCGTCGATGATATTCGCGTTCTTCCCGATCCGCCAAGTAGAAAGCAGCGAAAGCAGCACTTGAGGGCAAAGTCCGCCTCCAAGGTGCGGGGCAACCCCACCGATCGCCACCGGTACACGCTCTCTGATGGCGGTCCTTCTGATGATGCTGATGATAATAAAGAAAATAAAGATGACGACCCGAAAAGGTCCTCGCCATCCTCGTACAGCGACTGCAGCTACCACCTCGCCTTTACGCTGGTGGAGGCCAACGGAAGCAGTGGCCAGGGAAAGCGCTCCAAACTGCTGGGCAAGTTCCGCAACTGCCTCAGCTCCGTCCTTCGCCACCTCAACTCGACCGGCTACGAGTCGGGCGCCCTGTGCATTCACCTGATCACCTCGGGTGGTGACGCTCTGCGGTCGGCCATCAACGACGTCATCGTTCGGGTGCACGAGCACCTGGTGGAGATGCGGAGCAATGATGATTATGGCCATCGAAAGCATCAGGCGTCCTTTGAAGACAGCAAAGACTTCAATGCCCAGGACCAGGACCAGGACCAGGACGAAGACCACCACCACCTCCGCCGCCCGCTGACCAAGTACTTCTTCATCGACTCGGCGGCGGTGGAGGCCCGCCTGGAGGGGGGCCCCAGCCCCCGAGCTCCGCTGCTGGCCACGCTGCGGCGGCACTTCACCAACCAGCGCTCCGGGCCCAATGCCTACTACTCCAATGCGCTCTTCTTCTACTCGATGGTCCTCCACCAGGTGCTGCCCTCCGCGGTGGCCGACCGCCTCCTCCTCCTCGACGTCGACGTGCAGCTGGAGGCGAATCTGCTGGAGTTGTACGAGGAGTTTGGCCGCTTCACCGCCGAGCAGGTGATGGGCATTGCCTACGAGCAGCAGCCTGTCTATCGGTGAGTTTTCAGTTGTTTGTTGAGTTGTTGAGAGTTTCGATTTCGATTTTAACTAACGATTTCTTCTTATCTTTCCATCCATCTTCCTCATCTTCCTCTGTAGACACATTCTCCACGAGTATCGTCGACTAAATGAGAACACCACCGCTGGCTCACCTCCGTCTTCATCTCCATCTTCGTCGCCATCTTCGCCAGGCGGATTTCCGGGCTACAACTCGGGCGTGCTGCTGCTGCACTTGCGCAAGATGCGCTCCAGCTTCCTCTACAACTCGCTGCTGAATGAGGCGCTTATCGGCCATCTGGCGCGGAAGTACCACTTCCGGGGCCACCTCGGCGACCAGGACTTCTACACGCTGGCCGCCCTCGACTATCCGCAGCTCTTCTACACGCTGGACTGCGCCTGGAATCGCCAGCTCTGCCAGTGGTGGCGCTTCCACGGCTACGGAGCGGTCTTTGATGCCTACCACCGGTGCAGTAGCAGTACGGGGGTGAAGCTGTACCACGGCAACTGCAACTCGGCGATGCCCTCAATGGCGGTCCCCACTTCGGATGGCAACTTTGAGCAACTTCGACGATGAATTTGCGTTGTTTGGAAGCTTGTACATAGTAGCTGTTGAATGATGTTCTTGTTGAGCTTTTGTTGTTCTCTGATTGTTTGCAGAGAGCTGCGTTGTGATAATTTGATTCTTCTTCTTCTTCTTCAATAAAACGATTCTACGTTCAGTAACTTTTGATGGATTTCATGAATTTCGAAACGAGCGAATTTTGCTGCAGTCGCCGTCGTAAACGATTGTTCACTATCGATTTCACTATCGAAAAGGGCAGTGCAAAAAATCACATGTTTGCTTGAAATCAAAACATTGCCTCTCTTCTTCTTTCACCATCTGCTTTCTTCAAGTGACGAAGTTTCTGGTATTTGAATTTCCTAAAACTACTGAATCAAAGAACTCAGAAGAAGAAGAAGAAGATCAGGCCTGGAGGAAGAGCGATGCGATACCTCAGATTACTTCAAAGCTTACGGAGTGCCACGGTGGCCAAGGATGTCAGTGGTGGTGGACACAGAAATTCCGTCGCCGGATTGCAAAGGTTTCTCAGCGCCGATTCCTCTTCTTCGACCGGCCAACAACGATATGATCCACTGAAAAGTCGGACCGACCTTGAGGAGCTCTTCCTCGACCGGAGAGTTCGCTCGCTGCTTCGCCGCCTGACCGGCTACAGTCCGGCGAAGCTCTTTGCCACCAAGTCGCTGGACAATCTGAGCTCGCCCAAGTACCGCTTCATGACTGATGAGCAGCTGCAGATGGTTTGTGATTGCAGCTTAACTTTTATGTTCTAAATCTCATCCGGTCACCTTTCTTTTAGGAAAAGAAAATGGCCGACGAGAAGGCGGCAAAGATGTTGCAGATGCCGCCGGTGAAGTACCCGGCGGAGCACCGCCCGAAGGTCCTGGACCAGGACCCGGCGCTGCAAGGTTTCCTCGACCCCTCGGTGAAGGTGATTCTGGTGGACGCGACGCCAGGCTACTCCGATGTGGTAAGTGTTTTTGGTTCTAAAAGAAGAGAAAGTTCCTACCTTCATTCAAAATTTCCTCATCATCATCCCCACCAGGAACGCCTGATCGTCGTTCGCGAAGCGGATGGAACACTTCGAGAGGCGACCCGCGAGGAACGCCACCGCTCGAACCAGATCTTCTACCCGGTGGAGGAGCGCAGCATCGAGCTGCCAAAGATGCTCGAGGATCCGCACATTGAGGTAATTTTACCACTTTCATCATCATCATCAGTCTTCTAAATTCTATTTTGCCCCTCTTTCCAGGCCGTCCTCAACCGCTCCGCCTACCAGCTGCTCCTAGACACCGCCTGCCTGCACCTAGAGCCGGAAGACGAGCGGTACAGCGCCCTCACGCACCGCGTCTACGAGCACATCGCCTCCCGGGGCGCCTTTGACCGCCTCCGCTCGACGCGCCACTACGGCGGCATGCTCTACTACTACACCTACTTCAAGCGGGCTGATCCGCTGCTGCACCACCTGCTCACCACCGAGCCGGGCCGCCTGGAGGAGGCCGTCCACCTGCTGCACCTCTTCTACATCGTCAACCCGAGGGAGGGCCTTCCGGTGGCCTTTGACGACAACGTCGAGGACGTCTCACTGCCTGAACTGCTGGTGGAGCAGCAGCAGCAGCAACAGGAGCAGCTGAGCAGCATCTCCCTCCAGCAGCTCATCAGTCTGCTCAATGTAAGTGAAAAAAGACTGTTTTGCTAACGCTAATGTTTTGTCCCNCAACGTCGAGGACGTCTCACTGCCTGAACTGCTGGTGGAGCAGCAGCAGCAGCAACAGGAGCAGCTGAGCAGCATCTCCCTCCAGCAGCTCATCAGTCTGCTCAATGTAAGTTAAAAAGAGGTTTTGCTGACGCTAACGTTCAATTTTCCTTCCTGTACAGTTTTACATCGCCAACGATTCCACGAATCTCGCCGTCAAGCCGCGGTTGCAGCTGAATGTACAAAAACTACAGGAGCAGCAGCAGCAGCAGCAGAGCAAGGAGGAGGAAGTGGCGCAGCAAAACTAGCACAGTCATCTTCCTCTCTCATCCTCAAATCGTCAGGTTTGTCAAAGCAGCATTTTGTTATTGTAATTACATTAGTGAGTAAACAGACAGCACAGCACAGGAAGCTTTGTTAAAAGGTTTTTATTTTAATTGAAAGAGAATGAAAAACATAATTGAGGGGGGAGAGATGAGAAGGGAAGGGAAGAGGAGGAGGAGGAGGAGAAAGGCAGAAATTGTGTGTAGGTGTAGAATATTCTCAGCAGTGGTTGTTGTCCTCTCCTCTGTTCTGTGGTTGGTGTTGTTTGTCAGCTTGAGAAGGTTACCGATTATCCATCAACACAGTTCGCGTTTAGTGATTAGGTAGTAGCACAGGGGACCAGGACCAGGACCAGGACCAGGGGCTACCGATCATCCCTCCTGGCCAAAGTCGTCCATGAACTTCTTCAGCTTCTCCAGGTCGTCGTCGTTGACGGTGGGCTTGGCGTTGGCCAGCGAGCTGAGCATGTCGGACATGCAGACCTTCGGCTCGAGCAGCTTGTCGCTGGGCACGTCCATCCAGCTCATGCGAATGGCGCCCGGCTCCTCCGGCAGACAGGGCGTCAGCATGTCGTTGGCCATCGTGTTCGGGTCGTCCTGCGAGGGGCCGCGTACCTGAACAATAAAAGGATAGGTTTAGGACCTAAAAAATACCTCCTCATCCCTCCCTTACCTTCTTAAAGTGCGTCGCCCCCTGGACCTTGCGCACCGGCTGGTAGAGGGCGTCGCGGACGAGGACGGAGATGTCCGCTCCGCTGAACTGTGCAGTTCGCGCCGCCAGCGCCTTCAGGTCCTTGTCGCTGAGCGAGTTGGGCGTCTGGCCGATGTTCATCTTGATCATCGAGTAGCGGGCCTCCTCCTCGGGCAGGGGGATGTAGATGCGCTTCTCGAAGCGCCGCCGGATGGCCGCATCCAGCACCCAGGGGATGTTGGTGGCGCCCAGCACCAGAATCTGGTCGTTGTCGGCGCCGACGCCTAGAATGTGTGGGGGAAAGGAAAAAATGGTAACGGTAATGGAAATGATGAAAAAGAAAAAAGTGATCCCTTACCCTGCATCTGCACCAGAAACTCCGTCTTGATGCGCCGGGCGGACTCTGACTCGTTATCACTTCGACTGCTGCACAGCGAGTCGATCTCGTCGATGAAGATGATGGCCGGCTTGTGGGACCGCGCCAGGTCAAAGAGGTTCTTCACCAGCTTCTCCGACTCTCCGAGCCACTTCGAGACGAGGTTCGAGCTGGAGACGGAGAAGAAGGTGGAGTTGTTGGCCTCGGTGGCGACCGCCTTCGCCAGGTAGGACTTTCCGGTGCCGGGCGGGCCGAAGAGGAGGATGCCCTTCCAGGGTTTGCGGTTTCCGGTGAAGAGGTGGGGGAACTTGATGGGCAGGATCACTGCCTCCTTCAGCGCCTCCTTGGCGCCGCTCAGGCCGGCCACGTCGGACCACTTGACGTTCGGCTTCTCCATGACGATGGCGCCCTCCAGCTGGTTCATCAGCTTCTTCTTCTCCTTGTCGTCCTTGCCGTCCTTGTTGTCGGAGTCGTCGCCGTCGGAGTCGTTTTCCTTGTCGTTGGCGCCGCCGCTGTCCTTTACCGGTTTGTCCTTCTTCGACTTTCCATTGCTGATGTACTCCTTCAGCTTCTCCGCCCGCTCCAGGTAGGTGATGCACTTGTTGCGGATGCTCTCCTTTGTTTTGTCGTTTGGGGCGTCATCTAAGGGGTTTGTTGAGGAGGAGGAGGAGGAGGAAGAGGAGGAAGAGGAGGAGGAGTTGAAGAATGAAAGTCCACCATCGTGGTTGATCATCGAACTTACATTTAATTGCGTGGAGAAAGTACTCCACGCCGTGTTGGTACAGGCGAAGCGCCTCTGCGTAGTCCTTTGCCTTGTCCTTTTCCGTCGCCTGTGTGACCAAGTCGATGGCTTTCTGCATCATTTGATCATACAAAAGTTTATTAGACCATCAGCTGATCAACAGCTACTCGAAGAGCACCGCAGCAGCACTTACTTGAAGAGTACCTGAAGACATATTTGTGTAATATATAGTTCAGGTGGTGGTAGGTGTGTCGACGTCGAGGTGTGCTGTTGTGTCAGTCTATCAGTCTTCTTTTTCTTTTTCTTCTTCAAATGTCAGTGGAATGAGTAAGAAGCAGTGTCTACGGAGAGGAGGAGGAGGAGGAAGAAGAAAGACGATGGACCAGACACTGAAAAGATGACTACGGCAAATTAGAAGATGGTTGTTGTTGTCGTAGATGAAAGGAGGGAGAGAAAATAGCTGTACAGTGTACAAAGAAATGTAGAACAGAAGAGAGTGAGAAAGAGAGAGAGAGAGAGACTGTCAATAGAAAGCTGCAACACACACTCCACCACCGTTCATTAGTCATACTCACCCTTAGATATGCCGCTGCCGCCGCTGCTACTGGAGATACTGTATCGCCAATAGAGATCAAGCCAGCTTCGAAGCTATGCTGGATGAAAGGTACTCTCGGGTGGTGATGTTGGTGATGGTGATGGTGACGGAGACCAGGAAAAGGAGTAAAGAGAGTGAAAGAGAGAGGCGGAGAGAGAGAGAGAGTCTGCTACGACAACAACAAAACGCAAAGCAGCCAAAGAAGCTGATGATGATTTCACTCGCAGCAAAGTTGCAGCGTCGTTCTCCCGCTGTGACGTCACAGCGCGGCGCAAGAGAAGAGGGGGCATCGATGGCAGAAACATCGATTGTTCTCGCTTCTGCTGCTGCTGCAGCTGATGATGATTTTTCTGCTTCTTCTGTTCTTCTTCGGCAACAACAACAATATCGTCTTCTTCTAGTTCTTCAGGTGCTCAAGATTCTCTTATCATCTCTTCACAGTTCTTGAACCAGAAGTTTTCAGTATGCACCTTTTCTCGAGGAAAAGTCTGCAGTGGTAAGGNAGCGTCGTTCTCCCGCTGTGACGTCACAGCGCGGCGCAAGAGAAGAGGGGCCATCGATGGCAGAAACATCGATTGTTCTCGTTGCTGCTGCAGCCTGCAGCTGATGATGATTTTTCTGCTTCTGTTCTTCTTCGGCAACAACAATATCGTCGTCTTCTTTTTCCTCTTCTAATTCTTCAGTTGCGCAAGATTCTCTTATCATCTCTTCACAGTTCTTGAACCAGAACTTTTCAGTATGCACCTTCTCTCGAGGAAAAGTCTGCAGTGGTAAGGTTCTGAAGATTTGGAGGAAGATTTGCTCTGCTCTTTGTGCTCGGTGTCATCAGTGTGTGAAGAGAGTACCCGAAGTGCCACCGTTTTTTGTGTTTTTTTGGGGTGATTATCATCGTGATTTTTTGTGATCAACACTTCAACAACCCCAAGAACTCTTTAGTGATTCTTTCGTGCTGAAATAGTGCAAAGATTCGACGAAAACGATTCGACGACGACGATGACCGACAGTGTCTGTGATTCCTGGGAAGATGTTGATGTTGACGTAAGTTTTATCTTTCAAAAACTGCTGATTTGATGACCGATCATTCCCACTCCCCATTTAGAACATTGTACTAAAGCCCTCGGCGAAGAAGAACACGCCCTCATCATCAACAGCAGCAGCATCATCAACAACAACAACAGCGGCGGGAACATCGAGCTTCACAATCGAGGAGAACGGCGGCAGCATCGTGGTGAACAGCAGCCTGAACGCCAACGCCACCGTCTTCCAATTTAGGCCTCGAGGAGGAGGTGCTTCAGGAGCCACCACCACCACCACCGATAATCGGCAGCTTAACTATGCACAGGCCTGCCGACCATCGCTGCTGCCCACGCCACCGTCAGCTGCAACGATATCAGCTCCGACCACCTCCTTCACCTCACCCTTCGAGGACCAGCACAGGCCGCGGGTGACCCTTGAAGACGACACTCGGACGCAGTTCGTCCCCCGGCTGCGCATCCTCAACCGGCCCAACGCGTCGGACCGCTCGGACCAGGAGGGGAAGGACGCCCTGCTGCGGACGGCCGAGGAGCGGAACCGGGCGCTGCTGAAGAGCTTCGAGGAGAAGCGGGCGGAGTACGCCAAGGCCCGGCTGCGCATTCTCGGCGAGGAGATGCCCCAGGAGGAGGTGGTGGCCGCCGCCTCGCCGTTCAACCTGAGCGAGATGAAGGAGGCGCTCGATGGGCAGAACACCTCCAACTCCACCACAACTTCCACTCCTCTTTTGCCAACTCCTTCTTCACAGCCACTTTCCGCGGTCAACAACGCGAGCAGCGCCAACGTCCTTCGTCAGCCGACGGCCCCGGATGGAACGCGGGGCTTCCACCACCAACACCGAGCTCGGAGCTAGCTCGGAGTTCGAAATCACAGAAGACGGACTGAGAACTTACTACTTTACAAGAGCACATACTTTCTCTCTCTGCTTCCCTTTCTTCCTCCTTCACACATACACACACTGCGGACTGTAAACAAAAGCGAAACAAACTACCAATCTCCTACTCCCTCTCCCTTTCTTTTGCCAATCGTTGTGACTTGGACAACAAATATCTCCTCCCCTCCCCCTCCTCTCCAATGTATTTCCTCTTATTTGCTATTTTAAACTTCTTATTATTAATAAAATTGCTTTGGTGTTGGTGGCGGAAGGAGTTTGTTTGTCGGCGAAAAGGGTTGAACAGGTACTAGTAAGAGAGGATGGCAATAAGTTAACACAACAATAAATACAGAAGTTGAAGATGGGAAACTACTAGTGAGAACAGCTGGTAGACAACAGATGAAGCGGAAGAAGAAGAAGAAGTATGGCTGGGCGGGAGATATTGAACACTGAACATTGAAGAATGGCGTGCAATTAAGAAGAGAATGGAACTAAAAGATCTATGGCATCGATGGAACATCATTTGTCTGTGCTTTGGTGGTCATTAAGAAGAAGAAGAAGAAG